GGAGAAATAATATCACTTTTGTCACTTCTAATTTTTCTTTTCAAAAATAGATTAGACGATAGTTTTCTTTCACAAATAGTCTCCGTAAACAAAACGATAGCTACGTTGCCAACATAAAAGTCACGTGACCACCAGTCCACCGATGTCGTGACCATGTCAGTAAGCAAAAATGGTATACTTCGTTCATAAATTTATAATTTGGGAAAACTGTCAAATAGCCCCCCCTACTAATACAGAAAAGTCAATTAAGCCCCTGAACTCAAAAAACACTCAATTAAGCCCACGAACTATAAAAAACGAGGCAAAACAGTCCTTTTAGCAGGTAATTAAGCAGTTAAAAAGAGATAAGGAAAAAAGGAAAGAAAGAGAAAAAGAGAAAAAGAAAATGTAAAAGCATGCCACATCATTTGCCACACATGCAACTTAACTGGGAACAGTTAATATCCTGCTAAAAGGACTGTTTTGCCTCGTTATATTTAGTTCGTGGGCTTAATTGGATGTTTTTTGAGTTCGGGGGCTTAATTGACTTTTTCGTATTAGTAGGGGGGCCTATTTGACACTTTTCCCTTATAATTTTGAAAAGGTGTAAATCAGAAAATAAAATACGGAGTATATAAAAATGGTAAAACTTAATAAATTGAAAATTCTAAGTTCTTTCAATAATACTTAATTTATACAACTATTTTTTGAAATTATTTGACAAATAAAATAAAGAGATACTTTTTAAAGAATTAAAAAATTCAATAATAAATATTAGGAAAAATAATACGTAATGTTTTAAAAAATAAAATATAATAAATTTTAAATTCAGAAGGAATATATAAAAAAAAGTGTAAAAATATCATACAAATTCACAAAAAAAACTAAAAAAAAGTGTATACTAAGTAGAATATATAAAACAAATTCTAGAGAATACCAATTCGAAACAGGTTAATAAAAATAAAATGCAGGAAGCTTGTAAAAACTAAAAAAAAACAATGTATGAAATTAAATAGTTTTAAAAATATTTTTAAAATTTTCAAATAAATATATAAATGTGAAAATATATAAAATTCTAATTACATTTTTTAAAATAAATTCAAGTAGAAAATAAGAATCTTAATTGAAAAAGAAAAATAGAAAATTAAAAAGTAAATTAGCAAGCTTGCAAATATTAAATACTTGAAACTTATATGAGAAAATAATAACAAAAATGTAAACTAAATAAATAATAATAATAAATAAATAAATAAATAAATAAATAAATGTAAGCTAAATCATAATTGAAAAATAAAAAATATATATGAATTTCGTAAGTTAATATTTTAAAATTAAGTTACAAAACTAATTATGTCATTGACTTTTTTGCTTGTTTCTTCATGTTTCTTTTTGTTGATAACTTTGAGATTTTTGTTTTTTATTTTTTTTTTATTGTTTCATATAGTCATTGATATTTTTGAATCAAAATTTACTATTTTAGATGTTTGTATATATATTTATATATGGTTTTTATTCCAAGGAAACAGAAAGGACAATTATAAACCTTTAATAGACTTAAATAAACAAAAAAAAAATAAACAATACACAACAATAGGCAACAATATACAACACTAAGAAACATGATGAAACAAAAAGCAACACACCGGATGCAACAAAATGCAACATATGTGATTTGAAAAAGAAACATATAAAAGTGTCACAAAAAAACATCATTCAATTTCTTAATTTAATTTGTTACGTTTATCTATGACACAGTACATTATCTGTATTGGTTCTTCTAGCTTCATCGTTATGCATCTTAATACATAAATTATGAGGTTTCTCTGTTGTCTTCATTTCACTTATTGATCTTGTAAGCCTTATTTCCATCTCCATCTTCTTCTTTTTGTATTGTGCACCTGAAATGAGAATGCAATCATTATTCTCCAAAAATCACTATTGACACGAAGAGAACAGAATAACCTAGGAAATTCTCCACAATAAAGCCTCAACTGCTAAATTTTTATCACAAAAAAGTAATTTTTTACGGAGTATCATGAACAATTTTTCAACTTGGACAATACAAAAAGCCTCAGTGGTGATACTCCATCCTCCACTTGGATATGCAAGTAAACCTTTTTTAAAGAAGAAAAATCTAATTAAACTATATTAAACTAAACCAGTTTAACTGTCATAGATGTTCAATTATATATCATTGTATGTTGTGTGGTTCATTGACTCTTATTCCTTCCAAAAATGTGAACATAAAATGAATTAAAATATATAGAAACCACTTCTAGCACTCTAAACAAGATAAATAGGCACATTAGCGTAAGCCACATTCAATTTTAAAGAGCACATACGAAAAGAAATATGATGTCGCTCTCAGAAACTTCTCGTAACTTCTAAGTTCTAACACTATTAACTCCAATTGCAAAAGCTTGGTAAGCCTTTTAGAATCTTCAAACAATCTATGCTATACCAATTATATAGTCATAAAACTACTTCGGATAAACTTAAATGCTTAGGATAGCAATCTGACATTTTTTGAGAGAGTTGTGATAAGAGTAACCAAGCCTGACTTCTATCAATTGAAACTTTTATGGGAGATTAGCTTTCAGTTCTTTATAATAGTTGGGTTAAAACAGAGTAGGCACAACAAGAAGTGGTACTATACCTTGTAAACAAGGCCAGAACCTCGTGTAGGTGTAGGTAGATATGAGATATAACACATCAGACATTAAAATACTCATTATAACTTGATTAGTTAATATGTATACCTGAAACTTCTGGAATGTAATTAAGGATATAACTAAAGAACTTTCTGAGTATTTAATCACAAACCTCCAGCTTCCCAAGCTTCTTTGTGAGCAAAACTATTCATACGGCGCATTCTTGATCCACCAAAACAGCTACAAATTAAATCATGTCAACTAATTTTATGTATTAGAAATTCACCAAACACAAGTGAGAGTGAGGAGAACCGATTGAAGAGCATACCGTGAGTTAATTCAATTGAAGAAAACAACAGAGTGGCAAGACAGAAAATGAGGTGCAACTCTAACTTCAAAAAAGGAAGGCAGAATGCTAAAGATATCTTTTAGAATTTTTAACAGATTGGCCTTAATCAATCAATTTTCTTCAGAATGTGTGCGTACGAGTGCGATCGAGCAATCAAGCTGGTGCTTGAAGGATTCCAGTCCAGGGGACGCAAGTGCTTGAGATTGTTGTCTATCAACCGGCCTTCTGACCTCACGATGCACATCAACACCATTAGAGTCCATTTGTTTCTCTCCCTTGTGCAATAGATTTGAGATTTTTAGGGTTCGTAGACCTCTTAAGAGACTCTTATGAGATGTGAACCTATTTTTGAAATAAAAAACTCGTGTCTGGTTAATTCATAGGCAGAGTTGAAGTAAGCTCAACATCTAAAAAAGCCTTAGCCAACAAAGGTCACCTTTAAATATCCAATTGATAGACGTTTTTGAAGAATCTCAAAACAAAAACAGAAAATCGAAATGAAAGGAAAAGAGGTCCAAACAAGAGCTAGAGAAGATTTCTTACGTGTATTCAATATCGGATTAATCTGGAACAACCGAATGAGGCGATTTCGTAAATTAATCTCTCCACGAAGAAAAGTTGAATAAATTGATATGCAATCTTCTGAATTAAGAAAATGAGGTAGAAGATTGCAATCTTCATGTCTACTTCGTTGTTCGACTGGTTGAACCACTTCATTCTAATCTAAATCAAGCACAAACAAGAAAATCAACTCAGATCTATAGCTTATTTGCTTGGTACAAGGAATTAATGGTTAGGGAGGATATAAAATGGATTTCTATCACCTCCGACAAAGCTAACTGAGGCGCATCTCAACTAACGGCAAGTAAAGCCGCACAGGACGGAGGACGGAGCCGCAAGAGACGGAAGGCGGAGCACAGAGCCGCACAGGATAGAGGTGAAACGACGGCAGGTGGAGCCGCTGACGGTGGAGCCGCTAAGGCCAGAGCTGGATGAGTAGAACACTCGCACAGGCTTTGCATACCAGTGGTTGTCGATTGAAGATTTTGGTTATTTTTGAAATAGGAAAACAAAATTGAAAATAGAAAAGTTTAAAAGTGAAAAGATAAAAGAGTTGGGACATTAATGATATACAGACCACAAAAATGACTCAAACGGGTAATTTCCACAATTTTTTTTTTTCATTTTTTGGGGTTCCACCCGGGTTGGGCTTGATGGTTAGGAGGGGGTGAGGGGAGGGTTAGGAAAGCAAAAAAAAACGGAGGCCCGAACCCGGTGGCTACCCGGGCCGGTCCCGGGTCCACCAATCCTGAACCGCCGGCCCGCCCGGGCCTAGGCCCGACCCGGACCCGGCCCGGGTCCATCACTACGCTGCTAAAACATCACCTTTTTACTCCTCTTAGTTGAGCTTTTTTTTGTTGCAGAAATATTCACTTTTTTATGTCACTGCATTTTTAACTGAATCTGTTGTATTGTCGATGCTTTTAGAGACATAAGATCTCAAATACAATACACATAAATTATTGTTTATTTTCACATTAGGACTTCTCTTTATTTGATCCAATGTGTGTGTTAAGCATTTGTGTGCGGAACCGAACCAATTTGATGTTGAATTGGGTTTATACTTTAAAAAGTCGCGGAGATCGGACATAAGTGTATGGTTAGCTTGATGAAGAAAAATTAGGTAAAGAAAGAAATGGCGTCAATCGGTGTCATTCATGATATCAAGTATTCAAGTGGGTTGACTTGTTGGATTATTATAGTTTTTTTTATTAACTACAATGAGAGGCGACTATGAAAAATGCATACAGTCTCTCCAAGTACTTGAGATAGGAGTCTTACTCACTATCTACCGATTTGGGATTAAAATACAATTTACATCATCTCAGTTAACTGTACGGTCAATGTTGGGGACCCTCAAGGATGAGGTGTCATTTTTGTTGTTGTTGTTATTAATTAATTAATGATATTGTCAGTTTATATATACACATAGATATGGAATTTAGTATGAGAGAATAGGGTTTTGGAATAATGGCTTACCCAATTAGGTAGCCTCGTGGTATATTTATACTAGAAAATAATAATATGAAAGGTACAATAATATCCTAAAATATATGTGTCTATTACACCCCTCAATCTATGGAATTATGATTTGTTTTTCCTTTATAGATTCAGCACGACACACAAAGAAGAAAGACAAGAATGCCAACCTTTAGCCAAAGGAGGACGCAATTATATAATCGTAGCCTGAGGCGGAAACGCTTACATTCACATATACATTAGGATATACCGATATACGGAGTAATATATAAACATACAAAGTATATATTATATTATATATATATACACATATGTTAATATGCAGCTTCATGCATAATCTATTAAATGTAGCAAAGTTTCCAGCAAAAAGATATATGTAGGGTGGAACCATTTCCAGCTTACAGTTCAGAATGCATCTTGAGTGCATCGCTGGAGCTTCCAGGGACAGAGCTGAGTGCTTCAATTTCAAGTCTGGAGAGGACAAGGCGCGCTATGTTTTCAGCTGATACAGCACTAGTCTCCATTGTGCTCGCTGCATTCTCAAAAGCATTCACATAGTACAGATGCTGGCCGTCCAAAATAAGTGGTGCAAATACCTCAGGGGCATGAAAGACAGGATATGCACCCCAGTCAATTTTGATCGTCTTGTTTCTCACACTGCAAGAATGATGCAAGGCATAAAATAAAGAGTTGAACAATCGCAGTTCTTTTTAACATTAATTAAACTGTAGCTCATAATCTAATGATTAATTAACTTATTGAGTACATTTCTATGTGAATGCAATGATTATGTGTTTAAATCCATATTATTTCACGCATGTGACAATAGAGAAACAGCAGATTATTTCAAGGGGTTCACATGAGCATGTCTTCAGATTAGCAGTTCTTTTTTCTTTTGAAATGTAACTTGGTAAGGAAGATGTACATGAACATAGACTTGGTCATTACATCAATCTCAAACTTAATTTACTTATCCAAGAAAGGTATGTATCTAAAAGTGTGTTAAATTACTATCAAAACTTAACACCTACTCAGCTAATCTCATCATTGTTTGACCATCTACGACAAAGAAACTTCTCAATATATCACGAGTTTTAGTGTTTTGCCATAGTTTCAAAACATGTAAGATACGATAACATGTTAACTTAAATACCAGCAGATACAACCACCGCAAATTAAGTCTTTCAAAGGGGAAAAAATAAGATCACTAAAATTTCCACTTGAAATAAATAAGTTTATTCTTACCTAAAGATTTTTTCCAATATATCATCTTCCATGTAACTCCGTGAGAATAGTTTGTAAGTCATATCATGCTCGCTGTACCGTTTGAGAACCGAGATGCTTGAAAATGGGACTTCAGAAGTCTCTATTGTGCCAACCAATTCGGGAAGATCTGATAATGACCTCAAACCAAAATAAGACTTGCAAAAGGGAAAAGTCAAATCAGTAATTAGTGAACTATGGTTAGGAGAGGACAATAACACAAAGGAATACGTTAATAAGATCATACAGTACTCACAGGATTTAAGAGACCCCTAATGAAAGTTGTATGTGTGTGCTGTAATTTCCTATCGGGGATTGTGATTCCAGGTAAAAAATTAATATTCAATTCATCCAAGGGTGTAGCGACCACCACAACTTCACAAAAGTAACTCTTCCCCTTTGTTGTCTTGAGTTCGTATCGTTTTCCTGAATAATAGACTGAATCTATGTCTTCACCAAGGTGCAATTCAACATTTGAACGATTGATTAATCCAGCCGCCATCTGCCAATTTCCCCCTTCAACTGACCATAAACCTCCCCCAGATCCAGCCAATGAAACTGCACCAGCAAGACCACTCATAGTGACACTTTGCCCATAATTGATTCTAGTGATAACCTATATAAGAACGTTCAAACTTGCATAAGAACTCAGAAGCATCTTTGTTCTGTCTATGAGATATTACAGACTTCGCTTTAATAGAGGAATAAAGAGATCAAACATCCTAATATGAGTGTGCATACATCATATTATAGGTTTATACTAACTGCAATGCCAGAAGTCAGAACTCTTCTTATAAAAATATGCTCAAATACCACTTATGTCCCATATTAAACTTTGCTTTAGGGTTTACAATGAGCTGATGACTGATAATAAAGTTAACTCTTGCCTAACAGTGCAATTAGTTTTGTGCTTACTACTTGCATATTTAGAAATTACACTAAAAGTTTCATTAGATGGCAAAATACGTATTTCAATATGAAAAGAGATCGGTACATAAATTTTGAGATCAAACCCATCAATATGAGGCTTTAGAGAATTAAAAGAGAGGTCAGATTTTACATACTGTGACAAGCTCTTGAATAAGGGTAGTAGATAAACCAGCATCAGTCAACTCTTCTTCCAAAGTTCTTCTTGTCAAATTATACAACCCCGACCATCTAAGCATGTCCTCTACATCCTCGAACACCGGCCTAGACTCAAATCCTTCATAGAACTTCAAGAATTTATCCACAGTTCCCTGTTGAGAAAGTAAGCAAACTATTCAAGCACTGTATGTGTAAAAATTGATATAAAAATGGCAATTTAATAGTTTACAGAGGGATTGGAGTGAATAAATTATGCAGCACCTCGACGAAATTTTCCATCCGAAAGAGTGAGAACCCATATCTGAGAAAAATGAGGACCGAATTGGCGAAAGACACGAACTTTTGAAGAATCGAGAGCTTGGGGTTTAAAGGCAGTGTTTTGAACACGAACTTACTGCCGTCCCAAATGCCAAAAGAAGAATCGGACTCCGACGATGAGGCCCTTTTGACTTTAAGGTTCAAGTAATTTGTGAAGTTCAAGGCGTGGTAGTTCTTCGGATGAAGAATGGAGCCGCCGGCCTCAAAAGACTCGCCGGAGACTGTGACCGTGGCCATGCGGCCGCCGACGACACCATGGCGTTCAAACATTCGTATCGAACCCACTTGAGATGGACTGGAATAGGTCCGCAGGAAATGTGCCACAGAGGAGCCGCCGATCCCGCTGCCGAGTATGCATACCGCCGGAGGAGATGACGCCGACTCGGAGGTGAATACCAGTAGACGTAGCAGGAAGAGGAAGGAGTAAACAATAGCTATCTTCATTGATCTTCAAGATTTCTTCCTGCTTGGATGACGGAAGTCAAGATCTATCATTTGCTAATTGCTAAGGTTACAGTGGAATATACACGTATGTCTACTACTGTTCTAAACTCTAAAGTCAACTGTCTTCCTGCTTGGATGACGGAAATCAAGATCTATCATTTGCTAAAGACTTAAACATAAAGAGCCCATTTTGTACCACCAAATTGGCTGAATCCACAACTTATGTCGAAATTTATGAAGTTCTGACTCAAGTGATTGGATTGGCTGATTTTGTTGATTTAAGCAAAAATTATATTTAAAATATATCTTATTAATAAAATAAAGAAAAAAATAATTGTAAAAATAGCTAAAATGATTATCTACAGTAACTTCAGCCAATACAGTCAGAAAAATAATTCCAACCTTACTTTTCCTTAGTATTACACAATTCAGCGCACGAAATCAAAAATTACGTGTTTGATAAAAAAGTTGGCTGATAAGCCGAAAAGCAGTGGTACCAAACGTCCTCTAAGTGCAACGGTCAACTTTTCACATTTTGTCGAGCACAACTTTAACCATTAATATATATAATTCTCTGTTATTAAACAAATTAAAAAATCATATTTTGAAAATTTACAATGAAACAAATTTTATAATATTTTTTAATAAAATATTAATATATTAATAAATAAAACTTAATCAAATGAGAACATGTGAATAGCGTAAAAGTTAACATGTTGCATTTATTTAAGAACGGAGGTAGTGTTTAGTAAAATACTTTTCTCCTTATTTGAATTGTTTTATATATAATGATAATTTTTCTTCATAATATTGAGAAAAACTTACCAAAATTATATAGGGAAAAGTACAGAAAAGGTGCTTGTGGTTTGGGCCGTTTTCAGATAGGGGCACGTGTTTCATTTTTTAACAAAGCGGGACATGCGTTTCAGTTCGGTTATCATTGCAGGGGCATGACGTCTAACGCCGTTAAAAAATCTAACCCTGTTTTTCAAAACTCTCCAAAACATTAAAAGAAAAATACTTGGAGGTGCGCATCATCAAAGGGACCAACAAACTATCGTTCTCTTTGAATTTTTCGGCTCTATTTGGATTATTTTTAAAAATGAATTTGTTAATATCACTTTTCCGGCAGATTTTTTGGTGACATGGTGGCTGGAAACAAAAAAGAAAGATAGTTTGTTGGTCTCCTTGACGAGGCACACATCCCAGTATTTTTCTTTTAATGTTTCAGAGACTTTTGAAAATCGGGGTTAGATTTTCTAACGGCGTTAGAAGTCGTGCCCCTGGTGTGGTAACAGAATTGAAACACACGTCCCAACTTTGTTGAAAATGAAACATGTGCCCCTATCTGAAAACGGCTCAAATCACGTGTACCTTTTTTGTGATTTTCCTAATTATATAAAATCGTTTAAAGAAAAAGAAAGAAACGTCAGTGATTTGTTTTTATGTATCCATCTCTTTCATCACAGATATGTGCATCATGCACATTGTGCCATTGGAAATGTTGTAAGGTCCCATTAATATTTTATGTTTTTCCACAAAACAATTATACTGACTATTTATTACACACTTTGGTATTAGATTGAGGTATTTTTTTAAATCATATTCCCCTCATCCAATAAAACTCTTTCCGGTTTGACTTCGATCAAAATTTATGAAAGTGAGAACAAAATAAAAACTATAATTGTGCTTGAATAAGAAAAAAGTAAATGAATATTAATTATACAAAACTTTTCCATAAAATGAATTGGAAATTATTTTGTGGGACATCCCAAAAAGGTACGTAAGTGAAAAGAATTTTATGGAACGAATGAAGTATATATTTTTGAGATCTATATAACGGTGTATGTTGAATAATCTTTTATTTATTAAATTAGGAAGAACAATTTTCACGTTTTTAGTGTTTTTTTTTTGCCTCATAATAAATAACTCTCTACAATTAACTCTGATCCATAGATCAACAAGGTGAGAAAAAAAAAAGAAGAACTATTAAAATACTTAAACTGAAAATTATTTATTTTTTTTGATAATAACTCAACGGGACTATTAAAATCTATTGTGAACTTTGATTCATATATTATAGTTAGTTCATCCATATGTATACACACAATGGAATGAGAAAAATATCATCTTTTATTAGTTATTGGACAAATAATAGGAAAAGTGTAACCAACGCAGAATATAGTTAAGAATAAATGAGGCGGGGTACATGGCGGGTAATGGGCGAACATGTATAAAATCGTTTCAAACTCCCCTATGTTTTTTTATTCATGCGCAAAATTAAAACCCCTTCAAGAACAAATTTTACAATTTCGAAATCACTTTTCTTAATAATATGATTGGATATGCAAGTAATTTTGTCAAAATTTCTAAATTATACAAAAAAAACTCAATCAATTTTCATTTATTTGGCAATTAAATTTGTTCATAGAAGGGGTTTTGCGCTTGAATAACTACTACTAATAATACAAGGGGTTTTGATGCCTTTTTTTTAAATCACGTGAGCTAATGCGTCAAATTTATATTTCATGGGGGGTCGGTGCATTAAACCGAGGGTGAAAGAAAGAGGAGGGAGTCCCCGCCCATGTTTTATCAGCTAAGAGGAGAAGGGCATATTTTTAAAAAGTATATATAGCGTGTACTGCCGTACTGGTGGGTATATGGAGTGTACAAGAGAAGGAGTTTGGCCACAGGCCACGCAATGGACGAAAAAGGATTACAACTGGGAAGAACATTGGTGTATACTTCGTCTTCAACACCAGGAGAGCAGGGCGACGGAATGGACTTGCGACTTGCGAGCGGGAAACTTCTCGGGAAAGGAGGGGTCAGGACAATATCGCTAGGACAGCTAGGCCCACCTTCTTTCAGCGTCTGTGCATTATTTCTAGGGAAAATATCGCAAATGGGCTAAAATTGAAAGTAATATCACATTTATCATTTTTGGAAACTCTTTTCAAAAGTAGACTAAGCGTAATTTTCCTTTCATAAATAGACTTTATCCGGTTAGACACATCTTGCTTCCTCCGTTCCTCGGAAGATCGCTCAGGATATCAAAAGGGAAGGTATGCACTCATGTAGTCTTGCCACGTTAGCAAGGAAAAGTCTTTATCTCTAAATTTATTAAACCATAAAAAATGTACACTGTTAGAAAATAAATCCTTTTCAAAATAAAAAAGCATTAAATCTTAAAAGCATAAATTATAACAAAATAAAATCTACGAATTATTTTTTAAAAAATTAGAATAAAAATAATATTTTTAAACGATAAAACTTTTTAGAAGAGTCAAAAAGTTAAAAAAATCTAAATATTCTAAAAAAAGAAAATAAATAAACAAAAATCATTAAAAAAAAGTATGAAGTAAAGCAAGAGAATAAAAATATATGAATTATCATAAAACTTACAAAAAAAAGAAGTGAAAACTGATTCTTTTTAAATTTCTCAGAAATACAAATATGAAAATTTGAAGATAATGCATAAAATTCGTAAAAACTGAAAACAATTGTAAAAAATTATAAAAATTAACTAAAATTAATATATAAAGTTTCAAAGAATTCCGAAAATTCAAAAATGTTGTAAAAAGATAAAAATAGAAATAAGATTCATTGAATTTATAAAATCAGAAAACCTGGAGTAAATTAAAAAGCATGTAAAGTATAAAAACCCATAATACAAAAACATTGTTATCATTTAATTATTACTTTTGTTGCACATTGTTTCTTTGTGTTTTTCATTGTTGATAACTTTAATTATTTTTTTTTATTGTTTCTTCATGTTTCTTTTTCTTTATTCATAAATCCAAATTTTATCTTTATAGGTGTTTATATAATATATATATATATATATATATATATATATATATATATATATATAAAAGATCTTTTATTCCAAATCACTAACAAATATAAATAGCAAGCAAAAGTCAGAATTAAAAATAAAGAACAATAAATAACACGATACAACAAAATGCAACATGGTGATACAAAAATCAACCAGCTGCAACAAAACGCAACATGATGCAACAAAAAATAAGACATGCAGTGCAACATAGAGAAACAAAAACAACACCCCATATAAAATTTACACAAAATATATAGTCTAGGATAGTCCTCAATTAAACCTTCTGTTAGAGTTGTGCCATTACCTGCTTGAGCCTCCAGTTTCCCACCACCCTCATTTGTAGAAGTTGCTAGGTTGGCAGTGGCATTTGTTATGTTGTCAGCAGTGTTTCCAGCTCTTGCAAGTGCAGTCGGTTCAGTACAAGCATCTGATTAGCCCATTTGCGATATTTTCCCCAGAAATAATGCACAGACGCTGAAAGAAGGTGGGCCTAGTTGTCCTAGCGATATTGTCCTGACCCCTCCTGTCCCGAGAAGGTTCCCGCTCGCAAGTCGCAAGTCTATTCCGTCGCCCCTGCTCTCCTGGTGTTGAAGACGAAGTGTACACCAATGTTCTTCCCAGTTGTAATCCTTTTTCGTCCATTGCGTGGCTTGTGGCCAAACACCTTCTCTTGTACACTCCATATACTCACGAGTACGGTAGTACACACTATATATACTTTTTTAAAAATATGCCCTGCTCCTCTTAGCCGATAAAACATGTGCGGGAACTCCCTCCTCTTTCTTTCACCCTCGGTTTAATGCACCGACCCCCCATGAAATATAAATTCATGCATTAGCTCACGTGGTTTAAAAAATGCATCAAAACCCCTTGTATTATACGTAGTAGTTATTCAAGCGCAAAACCCCTTCTATGAACAAATTTAATTGCCAAATAAATGAAAAATTGATTTGAGTTTTTTTTTGTATAATTTAGAAATTTTGACAAAATTACTTGCATATCCAATCATATTATTAAGAAAAGTGATTTCGAAATTGTAAAATTTGTTCTTGAAGGGGTTTTTGCGCATGAATAAAAAAAACATAGGGGAGTTTAACACATTTTTTATATCACGAGAGTTTGCTTCGATTATAACTCGTACTTCGTATGATACATCTCATATATTATAAATGAGGTTGAAATGTGTATGCATAAATGTATATATGAGCTACACTTTGAGGGTTTAGCTAGTTTTTAAATGTTATTATAGTCCTATTACTATTATTATTATTATTATTAATATTATTATGCTATTACAACTATAATTA